CAGAACCAGGACCAGAACCATCACTCTGCTGTCTGTGAGGTTGGTTCAGTTCTATCAACCTTTATTTCTACAGGTAAATCCCATTGAGCCTCGAGGACTCATTTACAAGAGAGACCTGATTTAACAAAGAAAGATGACAACAATGGACAACAGCAACAACAATAAACAGTTATTAAAAAGCATACTACAGTTTTTTTTTTTTTTTAACAAATAGGATGGCTAAAAGGAAAAGGTAACAATAACAACAACAAAAAAAACAAAAAAACAACAAAAAAAACAGCTAGATTCCAAGACAAATGTATAAAACTAAAAACAGGAACATGTCTGCATTGGTCCCTGCCAGGAGTCCAACAGATTCTTAAAGACACTTAGAGAGGTCAAAGGTCGAGAGCTTCTCTGCATGTCAGAACCAGAACTCTCGTTCTGCTCCCTGTGAGGTTCTGCAGCTCAGAAACCTTCCTGTCTTCCTGTCTTCCTGTCTCCTGCTCTTTGGTTTCCTGTTGAAGCAGCTGAGTATGGTTTGACATCATCAGGGGGTGTCTCAGGAGACCCCCCAGACAGACAACATGTGTTCATGGCAGCATGTGTCAGACACACGCTGATACTGGGCCAAGACCTGCTCTTTAAACATGTGTCCAATGTCCCCCCCAATGGGTCCAATGTTGGAAACCAAAACTTTTGCTTTCCTCTGCTTGAACTGTTTACTTTTTGTGAAAACATTGGGCGGCACGGTGGCACAACAGGTAGAGCTGCTGCCTCTCAGTGAGCAGGTCCCTGGTTCAAACCCCGGTCCAGGGGTCTTTCTGGGTGGAGTTTGCATGTTCTCTCCGTGCATGCGTGGGTTTTCTCCGGGTGCTCCAGTTTCCTCCCACAGTCCAAAAACATGCATGTTAGGCTGATGGTAACTCTAAATTGTCCCTAGGTGTGAGTGAGAGAGTGAATGGTTGTTTGTCTCGTTTGTCTCTATGTGTCCCTGTGATGGACTGGAGACCCGTCCAGGATGTCCCCCGCCCCTCACACAGTGATTGCTGGACATGGGCACCAGCGACCCCCGTGACCCAAAATGGAAGAAGTGGGTAAAGAAAATGGATGGATGGAAAACATTTGATGTTCTTCAGCATGAACTCGATGAACGGTCTGGTTCTTCCAGACTCAGTCATGGTACCTCAGCATCGCGGGACCACAGCATTAACCACTGGACTACAATGCAGCCCTAACTAATTCTCATTCACAGGTTTACAGCTGCTGACAGTTCCAGACACTAACAGCCCAAATGTCCACAGATTATTGATCAGATGTTCTCCTCACAGATTATTGATCAGATGTTCTCCTCACAGATTATTGATCATATGATCTCCTCACTGATTACTGATCAGATGTTCTCCTCACAGATTAATGATCAGATGATCTCCTCACAGATTATTGATCAGATGATCTCCTCACTGATTATTGATCAGATGTTCTCCTCACAGATTATTGATCAGATGTTCTTCTCACTGATTATTGATCATATGATCTCCTCACAGATTAATAATCAGATGATCTCCTCACAGATTAATGATCAGATGTTCTTCTCACTGATTATTGATCAGATGTTCTCACAGATTATTGATCATATGATCTCCTCACAGATTATTGATCAGATGTTCTCCTCACAGATTATTGATCATATGATCTCCTCACAGATTAATAATCAGATGATCTCCTCACAGATTAATGATCAGATGATCTCCTCACAGATTAATGATCAGATGTTCTCCTCACAG